GCTACCCAAGGTACATATACACCAAGTATCAAAGCATTCACGCTTGTAGTTTTCAAGAAGAAGTCGAAAAAGTAAAACATTGACACGGACGACGACAGACAATCACTCATATAATAAGCTCTGCTCGACAAAGTCGACAGCGGAGCTAAAAATCAAATGTTTGGTAGTCTCAGTTAATTAAATTTGGAAATGTATGTAAATTAATTACAGTACAGAAAATAGTACAAACGAAATACTGTTAAATCTGTATTAATTGAAGTTGCACCCATTCTTTTGGAACAATTGAGAACCAAAAATTCACCATTTCTCATATGTGTAGATGCTCTAATAGAAGCCATATACCCTCTGTTGCATTGTACCATTTTAATAGAAGAAGTGTTTTCTAATACAGATTTTACAATGCTAATGTTGGCATGCTCAATTAAAAATCGTTAATGTTGCATAAATGACTATTGATTGCAATGATTTCTGTTAGAAAGGATATTACTTACAGATCCTTTGTAGGTTCCTGATGCTAAGTTAGTGAAGACTGCAGGCGACTGCAAATTATTGGAAAAACTTGTTATTAAAAAATCATATAACTTTTACATACATTACAGCTGATAATAATTAACAAATATACCCACAATTCTTGTTTAAAGAACAGATTTTATTAACAATCAACAACATGGTAGGAAAAGAGGTCTGAGAACGACCACAGAGAGAAATTCTGACCCCAAATCAATGATTTTTTTTAAAAATTCCTTGCATTTTCATTATCTAATTGTAGACAGAGCAATGTATCCTAGCTTACCTCCTTGACTACTGTTGTCAGGCTAGAACTGCCTTCTAACTTCACTGTATAGTTACCAGCATTATGATTATGATCAAGTACTGCTTCAGTGAAATCCACTTTAACATCATTGCTGCCAATTATCAGAGAGACTTGTGTCCGCCATTCTGTTAATGAAACAAAACAATAGTATGGAAATTAGCTGCCATGCTTGGAAATTTACCTGTGAAGAATGTTACTTGTATATAAACAAGGAAAAATATGATGTTATAAACATAATCAGCATGCAAACTCAAATATTATTATAATTATACACGATGATACATGCTTATTAAAGATAGAACATACCTGAGACATTGAATTTAAAACTAGATATTTCAAGACAGTCTGTACAATTATCTGCTTTTACCTGTGAAAAGAACACAACGCATGGCTACATTTCTAGATTTATATATTTGCATGTTTAGTCAATAAATTGTGTCCCCAAATAAACAATTAATGATATAAAATACACTTTATATATTCTCTGAACAGAGAATGCCTTCAAAACAAGAGTGACACTCACCCACGCTTCGTAAGTTCCTGCTTTCACGTCGTGGAATTGTGTCTAGAAAAGAATAGAAATGTAAGCAAGCTGTATAATATGGTTCTGAATAGCATATGAACTGTTAGCAAGTATCCATAAAGCACAAACCATTATAAAGACATACTCGTTGTCACGCACATGATGCAATGCTGAAAACACATGTTTTTACATGCATGAAATTTACTGGAGCAATCACAATAAACCATTAACTTAAATACCACATACCTGGTAGAATTTATCATCTTTACAAACAGACACAATTTGTATATTTTTGGACTCAGTAGTTCCAGAGACAGGATGTAGCGTTACACGATATCTGAGTACTTTATATTGCGATGGAAATGTTGTAAATGCGACTTTGACATTATCATATCCAAATAATGTTACGATTGGTGGATGTGGAGGAATATAATCTCGTAACTCTATGAATACCAAAACAAATTTCAGTCACAAATAAAAATAATAATAAAATTAAAAAATTATTTAATATTAAAGTTGGCAATATTAATAATCACTATAATTATAAAATATGAAACAGAGACTTATGTATATCTCATCTAATTTGCGCAAAACAATAATTAGAATTCAAGAAAAAGACTTACCTCCATGCGCACACAGTTGAGGCATTTCATTACAGCCTGCAGAAAAAATAAATACAAAACATCAACCACATATATCGTGCTTGTCTGTGAGGTAAGTGTGTCACCATGGCAACCATTTGAATGCCATAATTTTCCCGCTTTATTTCTGGTCCAACATTTCACACGTTTTTATGTAATTCTGTACAATTTCTTTATAAATTTTGAACAAAGTGGACAATTGCCTATAGGTGTTGATCAATTTTTTTAGAAAAATATGAAAAAAAAATTGTGAAATGTGACGGAAGCTGACTCTGGCACTCAAAAGGTACTAAGCGATAAACTAAGTTGTCATTTAAAATTTTGTTCAAACAATTGCTGAATCAGCAATCTCAATACCAGGACTGTGTAATGTGACAACATGAACGCTGGGCATTAACAGTACGTACTCTTCTTAGTTTTGCAATTGTATGTAGACTGGGCCTAGAGCAAGGATGCTGACCTTTGGCTACAAAGTAGCAGTGTTCTCATTTATTACTGTGATATATTGATTAGGTAATAAAACTCTCTAGTTTACTGACAAATAAACTATCTTCATATTTTAACAATTTTGATTTCAAGCACTTCCAAAAAACAGTCACTAATGTTGAGCTGACATCAAAAATAAAATCGGATTTCTGATGACAATGTATTGTAATTTATGTCATCAACTTACTTGGAGAATGATAAATATAGTCATCAGTATTATCATCTTGTGCATCCGGCATTGATTTAGGAAGACTTTGAACTTCAATATGAAATTGTTGGTTTAATGTGATATCATGTAGGCAATCCAACTTGTAGGTATCATGCTGCAAATAATCAAAATGTATCAGAATAAGTATGGAAAAGAAATGCAGGTGAACGAAAAACAATTTGCACAGTGGGTACAAATGTAAGTTTGCATTCAGTGAAAAGATTTTATATACACAATTATACCAACAGAATCAGTTGAACGTGATTGGCCATTAAAATCTCCATGTGCGGTTGACATTGTAAGTCAAATAATGCACTTGGCCGTGTATTGTACAGATATTGAACTTGACTTGTGTCTGCTGCCATTGTGTCATTCAATATCTCAATGATTGTACTCCACTCATGCACTATCCTATATAAAAACATAGTGTACCATGTTTAGTGGTTGATGAAGTACTGTATCTTCACTGAAAATGATATTCTTGCACATCACAGGGTAATTCCCAACATTTCCGTAATTCATGGCAGTAACTCGAACTTGAAATCCCCTCAATGCAAAGATGCTTGCTGAAATAAAATAAAACCATCATCATAAAATCTGATCAAAATTGTTGTTGTCATCTCCAAGAAAAAGCTACAGACACATTCGAGTATCAGAAATGATTGTTTGTCCAAAATGGCCGCCTGTTGTAGGTAACTTGATGTACATATGTAAGACCTGTGTCTCTGCGTAAAGTTCAATGAGTGTCAGAGAGAGAGATATAACTTTGGATAGTTGGACGTGACCCAATTAATGGCGAGTTATAGTTCAATTTAAACATATTGCTAAGAAGGTAATAACTCTGACATCATGTGTAATTAGCATAAATTAGCATACAACTCATAAGCAAAGTTTTTTTTTTTTTTTTTTTTGTAATCTGAGTTGGTCTTGTGAGGTTATCACCTGATATAAATTATTCATACATGTAAAGCATGTCACTCATATAGAAGAGTTCTATAAAAAAATGATATCAGGTGATGACCTCATAACACATGTTTGCTATTAGAAGCATATAACCAATAATCACATTTGTTGTGCTCTTAGGGATTAAACAGATTTGCTTCCTGTTTTCTTTTGTAGAAAGATATGTTTCTTCCTGGGTTTCCAAATCTATTTTTAGTTTATGCAAGATTAATTACTGGTGTAAAATAATAAACTGTCATAATTTATACCGTATTTATCCGGCTAAGAGCCCATGCCCGGACAAACGCCCACCCCCCACTTTTGATAAAATAAAGGAGTTGAGGTCATATCCTAGCAAACGCCCAGAAGTATTTTTTCTACACCTGTAATAAAATAAAAAAACAAAAACCTATTTTTGTCCGTTGTTTACTTTCTTGCAGTTTGTTTTGATTCTGATAAAAAAATTTGAAAAATAAATGTAAATTGCGTAAAACGAGGAGTGAACGCGAAAAACGATGAGTGAACGCCAAAAACGATGAGTGAACGCCAAAAACGATGAGTGAACGCGAAATAGCTGTGACATAAATAGAGCAGCATGTTCACCACTGTTTACGTAGTTAGCGTCACCGACAATGAAACCAATGTTGCAATATTGTAGCAACCCGTAACTGGGAGAGTAGTTTGAAGCACGTTTGTTTTGGCTTTATAAAATATTTGCGAATCCATAACTGGGGCCAATTTTGCAATGTCAATCATCATGCCAAAGACTGCCAACTTTGTTACCATCTTTCACCACTGCTATTGCATTTCATGGAAATTATTCTTCTGTCGTTGGAAAAAAAATCTTCCTATTTCAAGCCCGCCGCAATATCCATATAACTTGCTGAATGGTAACTTTCACCATGATTGATGAACGAACGCCTAGTCTGATAAAAAAGCAGTGTTGAACTTAAATGCGGATGCTTAAAGGTCAAAGATGATTGCCAGACAGTGAACAAATGCATCGTGCGAGTCGTTTGCCGCGACCCCATTTTTCTTGTCTCTTTATTCTGATTAGACGTGAATTAAAAGTGCCAAGCTACCAGACAGCGAAATGCGTGGATTAAATGTGATAAGTCCAAATTGTGTGGGACTACATCGACAAACTTCAAGACGAAGCTATAGGGATTTTAGTTCTATCGCGACAGTGGCGCCGACTTGGAATTTCAAGGTTTTGACTTTTACGAAGATAGCAATGAACATACAAATAGAGATCTTAGAAGGTTTTGTTTTTTCTAACAACTATGAACTTTCGTAATTTTACTGCGTAAATTATTATTGATCTTGTATGGCTGTTGATCTGGTAATTGTCAAAACCGGAAATAATTCACGCGTATGGGGCGGCGTGTTTGTCGACGGGGATATTCTAATTTTTATTATTTCTGGTTTTAATATTTATCACATTCTAAGCAATAAATTATTTCTTGTTACACTTCTAATGCTGCATATTCATTTATTTTTTTGCATGTTTTTATTTGCCGTTTTCTCCCTGTCGCAGTTAGATCTGCGTGTTGCCAATTTCCCGCAAATTTTCATTTTTTTTGCCGGGGATATCCGGACAAACGCCCACCCCTTCTTTTTGGCGGTTTTCCATGTTCAAGACCCTGGGCTTATACCCGGATAAATACGGTAACTTATGAAATCCAGAAAACTTGAACTTGAACTTGAATTACAATTTGTTCATAAAACTGTGTATATGATTAGGCTGAGTGCTAGACTGAAAATCAAGTTATCTTATCAATTAGCAGTTTTGCTATGTAATTTGCTGTGCAGGCATCTTAATCTCGCAGGTGTCAAGGTATTTCTTATTTTGTGAACATAAATACCATGGTGATTTACCTAAACTCATTATTAATTCTATCTATTACTGTATCTCTTATTATGTAATATGTCAAGAAACAACATTTCAAGCTTAAAAATTCAATGTACCGTAAAAACTCCAAAATTTCGACCGGTTTTAAATAATTTGTGTTAGAAATGTGACGTGTTTTCAGAGTCAAAATTAAGGCGCATTTTCGGACGGTCGAATTTTTTAGAATAGAAATCAGCAAATGAAAAATGGGGATGATAGACAGTGTGCTTCGTTAGTTTTTAAAAAAATGCAATGTCCATCAATTGAGGTAAACTTCCCCATGTTTCACGGTAAAAACAAAGGTGGCCGAGTTGTAGGCTAAACAACTCAAAATCAAAACAAAGTCATCAATCAGTGAGTGTTATGACAAGGAAAACAAAACATCAAGACGCGGAGAAGAGGTCAGCACAAAATTAGGTCAAAAGACAAAGCTGTCTCGCACTACCTAGGAAAACTTGCGAATGTTCGAAGTACAGGTACCCATTGGACAAAAGATACATGGAAGTTTAGCAAACTAT